GGGCCCACCATGAATAGGGGCTGCTTCACAGCAGCCTCTGCTGCCCTCCCCATGTTGCTGCCTCTGATAGAGGCAGCAGTGCAGGGGGGAGGGGAGCAGGCAGCGCTGGTGCTGGGGGGAACCTGTTTTTAAGCCAGCTCCCCCTCCATCAGCTCCTGACTGCTCCCCTTCCCCTGCATGCCACTGCCTCTCTGGCAGGCATCAGGGGAGGGGACAGGCAGGGCCGTGAGAGCTAGCACGTGGGGGGGGCCCCCTGCACGTATTGGGTCCAACTTTTCCCCCCTCACCCTCCGAATTGCTGCCTCTCTATCAGAAGGGTGAGATGGGGCAGATGGATCCTGTGCTTGTCGGGAGCTGGCTTTTAAGCCACCTCCTCTTGGGCACCAGCTCCCATTTCCACCCCCTTGCTGCTTCTAATACAGAGGCAGCAATGGGAGGAAAATGAGTGTAGTCAACAAGATTAGCTGACAAGCCAGGCTTATTGGTTAATCATGTATTCATCTACACGCTGACATCCCTAATCCCCACTATTTTTTTTTCAAATATTAAAATATTTCAGGCACCATGGGGAAGGGAGGGAGTCAAAGGCCCAATTTTGTTGTCCTCTACTGGCCACTTTTTAACACACTTCATCCACACTTATTGATTGAGCAAACCTCATATGGCAGGAGCTTGTGTGAGAGTGCGCTTCCAGTCAGAATCAGGATTTATTTTCTTTCTAGAGTCTGTTGATAGCTTCTAGATGCAACTTTGAGGTCTATATCAGACTATATTGTATGTGTGTCTTTATAAATGCAGATCACAGAATGTAACATAAACATTCCATTCTACCCTGATTAGGCTTCTGCAGTCATGATGTAAGTGCATTAAGGATTTATAGAAAGAAGCATGTTAAAACAACAAAATAGCCTTCCAGAGGAAAAGTCTACCACAGACATCAGTGCTTTTCTTTGAGAAAGAGATTATATAGGATGGGGATATTTTGGAGGCTCATATCTTAAGCAATACTAGTTATTAAGCAATACTTATTTTTCTCAGGTTTTTCCCAGTAGACTTGAAGTGCCTTGTGAATAGAGAGTTGAAGAACTAGCTGATAGAGAGTTTTGGTCTACATACATCCTCTGAATACCAACATTTTCCAGGGTTGAAATCTGGAAGCACTCAATCAGCTGTAAACATCTTGAGGTGGCTTGAAATGTCTAGACTTTGTTTCCCGCATTTACAAAAGAAGCACATTCTACTGAGAGAACTTAAGGGAAATTACCTTCTTCCTCTCCCTCCTTGCAGATGCGTACAACCCACAAAGTATCCGTGTGGCCTGTGGGGCTGGTGGGAGGTCGACGATATGAACGCCCTCTAGTGGAAAATGGAAAAGTTGTTGGCTGGTATACTGGCTGGAGAGCAGACCGGCCATTTGCCATTGATATGGCAGGTAAGTACTGATAAGCATTTCTGTATAAACTCAGTGTCCTATTTGTACTCATGAACAGGCTGAAAGCATGTGTTTGCTTGTATAGCGGTCATCCTTAAAATGAGGGCAACTTTTGAAAGTTTCCATAGTTTCCTGTGGAGTTCTTAATTCTGTGGATAGGAATATTGCTGAAAACATCTTTTAAAAGAACAGACTTTTGAAGTGCACTGATAGATAGTATATTGCCCTTCTGGTTTTAAATATCTTATAACTCTTACCATGCACATTTTATCCACTAAAATAGTTAACCCAACATACTGTAATTTGCTATAATTTTATGTGGTAATTTTAGCTTTTGTGTTTGATTGAATTGTTTGTCTGCAAATCATTATTTTTGGCAGAAATCCTGTGTCTTTCATTGCATGATCAACACACACTGCGCAGTGTAATTGCAGATCTTTCGTAAACCTCATGCTGTAAAATGCTACTTTATCATGAAATGTTTCATTTTCTGTTGGTTATTGTGAAATGATGACAGTGATAGCTGTAGATAGATATGGTTTGAAACATCGGGCTTGGGGGAAAAATCACTGACAACAATAGCTTGCTAGGTGAAGGCAGAAAAGCTTTAAAATAGATCTAATCAATCTTCAACTGTGAAGTTAGCACACCACATAGCTCTGTGTAGCTGTCAGACCATGCTTGGCCAGTCTTTCGTGTATAAATCTCAGTTGCCGACAGAATCTCCTGTCTGCTGAATTCCGACTTCTGTTGCAGCAGTCTTTCAGCATGGCATAACTTTTGTACTTAAAAAACCAACAGCATTGTATTGTTTTTCTGTGGGAAGGTTAGGCATAGGAAGAAAGGAATGCAAAATGACCATGTATTTTTTCCTTGGAATTTTGTGTGGACGTTTATGTTACTTTGCACTCTAAATCTTAATGATAGTCTGGCTATGCAGGGATCATTGGTGTCCTCTCTGCTACATTTGGTTAATGATTAGGGCTGACACTCCCTCACTCCTGCCCCGGTCCCTTAGTGGGGCAGACTAATCTGTCATACATGGTGGCTACTATTTTGTGTGGTCTGAAGCAGTGTATTTTTCTTTCATTACAAGAACATTGGGAACCCAGTATTTCATGCTTACTATCCAAAATGTTTCATAAAGCATATGAATGTTTAACCTCTAAAAACAGTAATAGAAAGGTAATGGTGGTTAAAATAATTTCTAATATTTTTTTGTTTGGTGACACTAGCAATTTTGAATAAGAAGTGATCAGTATTTGGAACACGAATGTTAAGTCCCAAGTGTAGGAACATTTCAATAAGATAAAGAAAGCAATTGGCCTTAAATGTATACAGTTACATTTTTGTCACGCTCGTTGAGATAGCAGCTGCACTTCTCTTTGTGAATACCTACTTCAGGGACAAAGCTTGGATTCTCAGTCCCTAAACCAGTGCAGACTTGTCATAGTGATGTGTGGTGTGGTTGGGGAGCATTGCAACCATACTCTAAAAGAGCAATTCCTGTCTGCAGAGTTATAGAGAGACACTGGTGTTATGCTGTGCAGATGTTATGCTGCAATGTAATGCGTGTTTGTTTTTAACACTGGTGTTATGCTCATGGACAGTCAAAGGATGATAGGAAGGTCTATAATTCATTATCTACAGGCAAAGACAGACAACTTAAGTCCAGGGAATCTCATCCTTAGACGAAGAGGCATATGAAAAATTAATGAGTTATCTTGGTTTATACTTTGAGGTCAGGGGGATACACTGGCGTAAATATAGGGGAGAAGCAACACCAAAGAGAAATATCTGCTTATCTTCAGTAAGCTGCTTTTTAAGGGAACATAGAAACAGAGTTGCTGATATGGAGTGGAATATGAAACGTTAGAAAGCAAATCTCTTACAGATTTGTGAGAAAATTCTGCTTACTGGTACCAAGTGTTATTTTTTAAATTTAATTAATTTAATTTTATTAAATACTAAACCTTTTCATCGTCTTTATTTTGTTAAAGCAAGAGCTACACTCAGTGTCTGGGATTGGTAAACAGACAAGTCACGTTTGCAAAGGTGCTGTTACTTCATAATTAGCTGGAGACAAAGGCTGTGTCTAGACTGCAGGGTTTTTTTCGAAAAAACTTCACCTGAGTCTGGACTACAGCTACGTTCTTTCGAAATTAAATCGAAAGAACGTGGCTTTTCTTTCGACGACGGTACTCCTCATTTAGCGAGGAAGAACGCCTTTTTTCGAAAGTGCTCTTTCGAAAAAAGGCGTTCTTGAATGCAAACATGGCTTTTTCGAAAGAGAGCATCCAGCCTGGGTGCTCTCTTTCGAAAAAGTGGCTCACTTTTTTGAAAGAAGAGGTTGCAGTCAAGACGCTCTCTTTCGAAAGAGGCTTTTTCAAAAGTATCTTTCGAAAAAGCCTCTTTTGAAAGAGGCTTGCAGTCTAGATGTAGCCACAGAGTTGAAAGAGAAAAAATAAGAGTGAAATATGTAAATGAAGAATGAAGCAGACATTTGAAAATGAATGCTGTTCATATGCAGACATTTTGACCAGTACTGTCATGTCTTTGAGTACTTGCTCGTGCTAGATTCATGCGTATTGCATGCACAGTTGCTGGAGGATTTCCCCTCATTAGTACCTGTAGGACCAACTAGTGCCCACTGGAGAGCTATGTGCATATGCACTGGTATAAGGGGTGCCTTCAGCCCTATACCTTCTCAGTTCTTTCTTACCACCCATAATGGTTTCCTGGAATGATCCTTCTTGCTCTTGCAAGACCTCTTTCCCAGTGGCTTGGACTTTCTATTGCATATTTATTGTACTTAGTGTATGGAGTTCTCAGTGTTAGCATATAGTGTTAATTAGGTGTCCCTGTTGTAGTTAACGGGGGTCAGAGGGTGTGGCTAATGGGGCACCACTAAAAATTATACAAATCTGCCGCCCCGGAGGAGGAGTGTGTCGGCTGCCTGCGCCACGGGAGGTGTGAGTTTAGCGCAGGGTTTTCCTGTGCCACGGGAGGGGGTGTGTGTGTGTGTTGGAGGGGGATTTTTTGCGCTGTTTTTTTTGTTTTGTTTTGTTTTTGTTTGTTTTGCTCAACCAAAATTGTTGCGGGGCCCCATCGAAATTGTTCAAATTGGGCCCTGCACTTCCTAAAGCCGGCCCTAATGGTCGCCTCCCCCTCACCCTTGTGTTGCCCCCAGGGTCTGCCTCTCTGCTTTGGGTAGCAGGCGGCTGCTTTGCAAAGCAGGCTCTGCTGCCTCCCCCTTTGTTCCCAGCTTGGGGGCTCTTGGTAGTAGCCACACAGGATATGTGTTCGGTGTGGGTGGTGTTTATTTTTAGCCCGTGTGTTCAGTATTTTTTGGGAGACCATCTGGCAACCCTAGCTATGGTGTTAACCCCTCCCTCCCAGCCACGGGCTCTGCTTCCTACTTTGGGAGGGTGTGGGGCTGGGACTGCTCTGCTGAGCTGGGGTTGGTCACATGTGTTGCACTGAGGCCCTAGCTGTGCTGTGCTGCTCCCTGCAGGCTGCATGTAGGTTGGGGAGCCCCTTCTCCAGTGCTCTGCTGCACCCAGCCGGGCTGGAGCCAGACCGGGGCTCTGTCTGCCCCAACCCCAGAGCTTCAGCCTGCAGGTGAGGGGTGAGCCCTGGCGCTGGGATGGGCAGGGAAGAGGCTCTGCCCCCACCTCTCCTCATCCCAGCACTGTTCCTGGGCTGCTGAGAGTCCCAGTACTGCTGCCCTGTTGGTATGTGCGCTGGGGACACGGAGATGTGGGGGCATGCGGGGTGGAGGAGGATGCAGAGGCAGAATGGGAGGGGGCAGGGGTTGCACTGAGGGACATGGGGTGCTGTGGGGGAGGGAGGATAATGGGGCTGAGGGAAGATGTGGGGGGGGGGATAGTTTTATTTTGCTGAAACTGCACTTTCCTTTACTCCTCCCTCCCCAACTAGCTATTTGGCTGCATTCTCACCCTCCCACCTTTTCTGTGTTACTCCCCAAACCCCCTCCCATCCTCACCCTACACCCTGTCCTGCAGCCAAACTCCCTTCCAGACCCTGCTCTCCTCACCCTGTCCTGCACCCCACCTCCCATGCAGTTCCTGCATCCCTATCCCACTCACTGGCAGCCCTGTCCCGCACACTGAACGCCTCATTTGTGTCCCTGCGCCAGAGCCTAAGTGGGTCCATAAAATCCACTAACTCTGGAACCCCAGAAAAGTAAATCTGGCCTATGGAAAGCCCTGAACCTCAGTCCTCCCTGTCCCTTCTCTTCTCCTCACCCAATGTTAGAGGCAGCAAAGGAGGGAAGCAGGAGTCGGTGCTGGGGGCGGGGGGAGCCAGCTTAAAAGCGGGTTTCCCCCAAACATCATCTCTGAGCGATGGGGGGAGGCAGAGCTTCAGTGGCTAAAGGGAAAAACTTGCATTGTTGAAAGAATTTTCTGTGTCAAGATCTGCTATCTTTTTTTTCTTGTTTATGTCTGGGGTTTGATCTTGCTCCCATTGGTTTTAGCAGGACCCTTCCCGTTTCCTTCAATACAACCTTGACTGGGTGTATACTCTAATTTACATCTGTTATGATTATGGAAATATAGTTTTTCTTTTGGCTATTCAAAAATTAATGGTGGAGTAAACCTGCAGATACAAAAAATTTAGATGATTCACATGAATCTGTTATTTGATGTAAATGAAATTTGAATATAAAAGTCTTCTAAAAATATCTGATTTATGTTTACAAGGCCTAGTTCTATAGGCTTTGCCTTTGAATAACTACGTCCAATTTAATTGAAATTTGACAATATAAAAAACAAACTTGACTTAGTTTTCATCTGATCATTGGAATTGACACAGCATGACCCGGGAAATAATATTTAATTTTGTAAGCTTTTCTGTAAGTAAACTGATTAATATGGAAACCAGTTTTGACTTACTTCTTTATTGGTTTCTTTATACTAAAACTCTGATCAAGAGAGTAATAAGTTTTGCATGTACTTACCATCTTATTAAGAGAGTTT